CAAGTACTGATAATTCTTTGGGAATGAAGTTTTGAAACAGGTGTGGCTCTGTTCTACTCCCTCCAGTCCTGGGAAAGCAGGCTGATATTTTTCAAGGTTATTACTGAGCTGAGTGTGAGGATGGGACTAGGGGATGTTAAATGCCACAAAGCTTACTGTTCTTACCAAGATACAGTCATTTCTCTTGAATAAGTGTTCATTGGGCTGCTGTAAGCCTTTGGTTAATTTCCAGAATTTTGGAAAAATTTTCTGAAGTTTTGCCAATTTTTGTTGCCTTTACCAAGGGGCAAAATCTTAGGTCTTTACTCCACCATTTTCTCTGCTGTAATGCCCCACTTCCTTTAAACGATCCAGCCAGTTCTCTCCCTCTGGCTTTTCGCTTCTATACAGTGATTATCAATGTATAAATACTTGAATGTCTAAAATGAATACTGGTATGAGGTATAAAATGACTTACCAAAAAAAAAAAAAAAGACATGTCTCAGAACTTACTATCTAATATAGAGTCTTGTTCTACTTAATGTTACTGGGCATAATACATAAATTTCTAACATTGATCTCTTTCTTTGGGGGGCTGTTACTTTTGCCTTGTTTATATTTTAGGGATTTCATTAATTTAAATGTTTATGCATTCTCAGTTGAGGAAAAATCTATTTGGCCCAAATATTTGCTACTAATGGTATATGACTTACCCTTGGCCCCAAACGTTAATTGGATCCTTCTCATATCTATAGATGCACGATATATTAATTAACAGCTATTAGAACAATTCCTAGGTTTTCATCTAGAGTAGCTCTACTGGTTTAAGAAAGGATCTTACTATGGTCAACTCCCCCACTCTCAGAATAGACAGAGAACATGAAAACTACAATCTGAAGTGTGTGTGTGTGTGTGTGTGTGTGTGTGTAGTTATTGGATCTCCTTCTGTCTTACTGATATATTCAGTACTTTATTTACAGGGACACTATTTCTCAGGATACAATGTACCATCCCTGAATTATTTTCTCTTTCCACCACTGTCCAATTTTTCTCAAAATTAATGTCTCCAACTAGATGAGTTAGGGACATAAACATAGTAGGACAATAGAGGCCTCAAAAACTATTGAGACATCTGATCAGATTTTTACTGCTACAGGCATTCTTTCTGTCTTCTGAACTGGGGGTTGAAAGTGGAAGAGTGATCAAAGTTTCCTTTCTGGTAGCCATTAAATGATTGTGTCTTTTTTTCCCATTAAGTGTGTTTTTATTTAAATTCCAGTTCATATGCAGTGTAGTATTACTTTCAGGTATACAATATAGCGATTCAACACTTCCATACCTCACCAGTGCTCATCACAAGTGCCCTCCTTAATCTCCATCACCTATCTAACCCATCCCCCCACCCACCTCCCCTCTGGTAACCATCAGTTTGTTCTCTTTAGTTAAGAGTCTGTTTCTTGGTTTGTCCCCCCTTTAATCCCTTTGCTCATTTGTTCTGTCTCTTAAATTCCACATGAGTGAGATCATATGGTATTTGTCTTTCTCTAACTTAATTTGCTTAGCATAATACTCTCTAGCTCCAACCATGTTGTTGCAAATGGCAAGATATCATTCTTTTTTTATGGCTAAGTAATGTTCTGTTGTATATATACACTTTTTAAAAGATTTTATTTATTTATTTGAAAGAGAGAGCACGAGCAGAGATAGGGGCAGAGGGAGAAGCAGACTCCCCACTGAGCAGGGTGCCCAAAACGGGGCTTCACCCAGGAACCCGAGATCATGACCTGAGCCAAAGGCAGATGCTTACTCAACTGAGCCACCCAGGCGCCCTGTACTACGTCTTCTTTATTCATTCATTTATCAATCAATGGACACTTGGGCTGTTTCCCTAATTTGGCTATTACAGATAATGCTGCTATAAATAGCAGGGTGCATATATCCATTTAAGTTAGTATTTTTGTATTCTTTGAGTAAATACCCACTAGTGTGATTGCTGGATCATAGGACAGTACTATTTTTAACTTTTTGATGAACCTCCATAGAGCTTTCCAGAGTAGCTGCACCAGTTTGCATTCCCACCAAAAGTGCAAAAGGGTTCCCCTTTCTCTACATTCTCATCAACACCTATTGTTTCTTGTTGTTGAATTTAGCTATTCTGACAGGTGTGAGGTGATCTCTCATTGTGGTTTTGATTTGCATTTCCCTGATGATCAGTGATGTTAAGCATCTTTCCATGTGTCTGTTGGTCATCTGCATATCCTCTTTGGACAAATGTCCATTCGTGTCTTCTGCCCATTTTTAATAGGATTATTTATTTTTGGGGTGTTGAGTTTTATAAGTTCTTTATATATATATATATTTATGAAGATATGTCATCTGCAAATATCTTTTTCCATTCCATAGGTTGCCTTTTAGTTTTGGTGATTGTTTCCTTCCCTGTGCAGAAGCTTTTTATTTTGATAGAGTCCCAATAGTTTATTTTTTATTTTGTTTCCCTTGCCTCAGGAGACATATCTAGAAAGAAGGTGGTACAGCTGATGTCAAAAAAATTACTGCCTATGTTCCGTTCTAGGATTTTTATGGTTTCATGTCTCACATTTAGGTCTTAATCTATTTTGAATTTATTTTTGTATATGGTGTAAGGTGTTCCAGTTTCATTCTTTTGCATGCTGCTGTCCAGTTTTCCCAACACCATTTATTGAAGAGACTGTCTTTCTTCCATTGGATATTCTTTCCTGCTTTGTCGAAGATTAACTGACCATGTAATTGAGGCTTCATTTCTGGGTTTTCTATTCTGTTCCATTGGTCTATGTGGCTATTTTTGTGCCAATACCATACGTTTTGACTACTATAGCTTTGTAATATAACTTGAAGTCCGGAATTGTGATGTCTCCAGCTTTGTTTTTCTTTTTCAAGGTTGTGTTTTGGCTATCTGGGGTCTTTTGTGGTTCCATACAAATTTTAGGATTGTTTGTGCTAGCTCAGTGAAAAATGCTGCTGATATTTTGACAGGGATTTCACTAAATGTGTAGTTTGCTTTGGGTAGTATAGACATTTTAACAGTATTTGTCCTTCCAATCCATGAGCATGGAATGTCTTTCCATTTCTTTGTGTCATCAATTTTGGAGTACAGGTCTTTCAACTCTTTGGTTAGGTTGATTCCTAGTTATCTTACTGTTTTTGGTGCCTACTGTAAATGAGACTGATTCCTTAATTTCTCTTCCTTCTGCTTCATTACTGGTATACAGAAATGCAACAATTTCTGTATGTTGATTTTATTACCCTGTGACTTTATTGAATTTATCACTTCTAGGAGTTTTTTGGTGGACTCTTTTGGGTTTTCTATATATAGCATCATGTCATCTGCAAATAGTGAAAGTTCTACTTCTTCCTTGCTGATTTGGATGCTTTTTATTTCTTTGAGTTGTCTGATTCCTGAGGCTAGGACTTCCAGTACTACGTTGAATTAAAGCGGTGAGAGTGGACATCCCTGTCTTGTTCCTGCCCCTAGAGGAAAAGCTCTCAGTTTTTCCCCACTTGGGATGATATCAGCTGTGGGTTTTTCACATATGGCCTTTATTATGTTGAGGTATGTTCCCTCTAAACCTACTCTGTTGAGGGTTTTTATCATGAATCGATTTTGTACTTTATCAAATGCTTCCTCCGCATCTATTGAAAATAATCACATGGTTCTTTTCTTTTATTAATGTGATGTATTGCATTGATTCATCTGTAAATACTGAACCACCCTTGCAACCCAGGAATAAATCTCCATTAAGTGTGTTTTTAAAATCATAGCCTTGCGTGCAGTGGAAATTTCTTCTAGTTCCTGGTTATAGGCTTACTAATTAATCCTATCATTTGGTAATATGAGCATTTTTATGGTTCTTTTTTTCAGTAGCATCATAGTGGAGAATTAGAAGCAGCTGTACCAGGCACTTTAACTTAGTTACCATTAGATACTTGCTTGGTCCTCTTAAAGTTAACCCAAAAAAATCTGCCTAAGACTAGGGAAAATTTCTCATTTGTGTGTAATTTCTACACATATAAAGATGTCTACTGACAAATCATGAAAAAAAATTTATATCTAAACTGAACCGAGTCATCTCCCATGAACCACTCTAAATGTTATTCCATCAATCAAAACCCCACACCACACCAACTCAGTATTCTTATTTTAAAATCCCCACAGGAAATATTTATTGAATTGCTGCAGGGGGTGCTATTCATTTTCTAAATCTGCAGCTCCCCTGTGGTGATCTCATAGGGGTGGTTGGGATATTTTAAGATTTTAAGGAAACAACAGTGATAATTGGTATCTAGTATACAGTGCACAAGCTACTAGTTCAAAGTAAAGTTTCAATATTAGATAATGCCACCTTCCTTTCAAGCTGTTGTATCTTTACACTAGATTTTTGACAGTTTCTGTGGTAAAAGCAGCAAATAACTGTGGCTGTGTAAAATTTCATCTCAAGGTTTGTGAAGCTGTACAGTGTTCTAACAGCTGCACATATCGCGTTAGTAAGTAACTGTGGTTATTTATAAACAAAGTAAAATATTTTCTTTCAAAACCCAAAACTAAAAGGAAATACCTAATATTTTTGTTTATTGTTAGATCAAAACAATAAGTATTTATGTCTTAATAACTTACAGCTGTTTGAAAAAATACTTCTTGTGTTTATATGTGTTCTACATAATGATGAGAACAAAAAAATTACCAAAATACTAAGGGCACTGTGAACAGAAAAAACTTGGAAACCTTTGTCTGAAATGAAGTCCACTAACCCAAACAATTTACCCATAAAAATTTCTTCATTAAATACTTATTAAATGTTTTCATATACATAATACATCTCACCAAATAACTCACTTTTCTGAACCAGAGACTGAGACATGAAAATCTCCGTATTTCACTGAAGGATTAAATATCATTGAGCTTTCATATGTCATTCTAGAATTAACCAGCCAATCCACAAGTAAAATTTCAAAAAATAAAATTCTAAATAATTTATGCATAATACCTGAGTGTGAGCTCTCAATGGTGGTATCTGATCTGGAATCCAGAGATGAAGGAATTTGTTTTAATTGTGGAACATAGTACATCCTCGTAATACCAGGAGGCTTATATGGCAACAGTGAAGGTTGGGCTAAGGAGATAAAGATCAGAACAGTTAATAAGAAAATATTTATTAATTCACTGAATAAATATTCAGTGCCTTTCATGTGCCAAGCAGTATACAAGATTCTTGGGATATATCAGGGTGCCTCACTGGCTCAGTCAGAAGAGCATGTAACTCTTGATCTCGGGGTTGTGAGTTCAAGCTCCACATGGAGTGTAGAGATTACCTAAATAAACTTAAAAAAAAGATTCTTAGGCTGTATCAGTGGACTAAAACAGAAAAATATCTCTGTCTTCAAGAAGAGCTAGCATTCTAGAGGGAGGAGGTATACATCTGTGCCAAAGTAATAATTTGATTATTATAGAGGAGATTTATATACATATTTATACACACACACACACACACACACACACACACACACACACACACACTTGTTTTTGTCTCTCTGAAGTCAAGGGAAACAAAAAGTGTATAGAGGAGGGGAAATTTTAAACAGAAAAAATAGGTTATAGCCTCCACTTCTATTTGGTCATATTCCTCCTTCTAGAGGAAGGAGGTAAACAACAAACATATTAAATAAATTATTTAGTATTTTAATAAATTACAAGTTATATAAAAAAGACAATTAGAAAATGTTGAGGGGTAGGACTACTGGGGAAATCGGGGCAGGATGCAATTTAAACAGGGTGGTAGGGTAGGCCTCATTAGATGAGTATTTTAGCAATCTATTCCATGTACAGATGGCTTTAACTAAAAACCACTTTATCTTATACTAAACTCAAACTCGTTAACCCCTTACTACCAGTCTTATGGTCTTATTCTGTCCCAAGAGTCACAGAAAATAAGTCAAATTCTCTTCTACATGACAGATCTTCAAAATAAAGTTTCTTTTTTTTTAAAAATAAAGTTTCCATTATAGAAGTATAAATTCTCGATATTAAGAAAATACATAAAAGTAATACTTGGTACAGTTAGCTGTGTTGTTGTTACTAAATTTTAGCTTTCTAAAGGGTGTGTAGTGGCATATCATTATGGTAAAAATCTGCATTGCCCTAATAATTATGATTAGAACCTTTTTAAGTAGTTATTGCCATCAAATATAAACCAGTAGGAATAACAGTGAATTTAGCACAGTCACTGCACATGATATTGGTATAAAGAAATACAATTATATTTCTATATACCAGTAAAACCACACAGGAAAAAATACCTATACAATGTCATAAAAAATATAGTATCAAATATCTAATGAATAAATGTAAGAAAAGATTTCTTCACTGAAAACTGCAAAATGTTGATGAGTAAAATTAAAAACAGATGAGTAGATATACCATGCTTATGAATGAAAATACTCAATAGTGTAGACATGCTAATTACCCCAACATTAAAAAAAAGGAATACATAAAAGTAAAAAAGACAAAGTCCTACCACTCAAAGATAACTGTTATTAACATTTTAATATATTTCCTATGTATCCTTTCTCTCTGTCTTATGAGTATACACAGTTGTCTGCATATACTTTGTACAATACGGAATTCAGTGTTTCTACTTAGCATTTATAATAAAACATTCATTTTATTTCCTATCTTTACATTTTATATGGCTATATTACAGATTAAATGTATTTAACACTTCTCCTAATGTTGAAAATTTAAGCTGAGTTAAATTTTCAATTATAAAGAATTCTGTGAATAAAGATTTTCCTATTTATAGCATATCCATTTTCCCCTGCTGCCCCAGCTCAGGTAAATTCTCTGATTAGAGAGTGAAAAATTATACCATTTATAAAGTTTGTTTTTAAAAACACTAACTGCTAAAATATTTTCTAAAACGTCTAATAATTTGATTATTATAGAGGAGATACACACACACACACACACACACACACACACACACACACACTTGTTTTTGTCTCTCTGAAGTCAGGGGAAACAAAAAAGTGTATACATGAGGGGAAATTTTAAACAGAAAAAATAGGCTATAGCCTCCACTTCTATTTGGTCATTACTGTAGTCATTGTTAGAATATTGATTTATTAATTTTCTTCCTCTACCAGTGTATATAAAACTTGATAGTGATGGTTAAATTTACTAGTTGAAAGGCTACAAAAAAAATGAATAACAACACGTGGGCAGGATTACAATGGGCACAGAGCAAGAATGGCTGTCATACAGAGCTGGAGAATTCTGAGACAGATAAGTGGCTTTTCAAAATTCTTGACAACTTTATGTTTGGATGCAATAGTTTTAAGGTTACTTTGGCCTGGCTGCCTATGGGGGAAGAAGTGACTACATGGCAAATAATGGTTGCTCTTAGGAAAGAAAAAGAAAAGATTAGAGAAGGGTAAAGAAGAAAATTCAACTATAAAATTTATTTTTTCAAAAACTTGGAAAATAGAACCAAATATACACATATAGTATATTATCCTGAATTTGTTAGAGTATTGAGCAAAGTCATGTGTTTAACATACTATTCTTTGTAAGTTGTTTTCATACAAAAAAACCCTCACAAAATTTTACTTTTAAATACATAGTATTAAAAATAATATTTTATCAGTAAGCCAAATGACATTAACCATTTAAAGGAATCCTTTCTCCCAGGTCCTGTATACAAAGGTGAAAACATAAATTATGGCCTCTATATAAATCGATGCATTTGATGTGACTAGGGGTTTAAAACACACTTTCACAGTTGGATTTCCCCTCTTGCGCTTCTGGCATCACCATGAGAACAATATAACCCAGGGTAGGTATTGTTCCATTAGGTTGGGTTTAAGAACAAGGCATATGGAACAGACCCAAACCATTTCTGTAGCCTAAAGCCAAACTTGAACTGAATCACAAAACCCATGAGTGAAAAAAGCAAATGTTTGTTTTACAAAGCACAGAGATTTGTGAGGTTGTTTTCTAGTATCACTGTGGCACTAGGTAACTGACATACAAAGATGTTCTTTGTGATATTTATTAAACTGTAGATTTGGGGGTACGTTTTTATTTTACCTTAAAAATGTATAAGAATTAAAACCATCTTAACATATAAATGTACTTGTTTAAATTAAATTCATTCAAAGTTGAATGCTGAACCAAGAAATTTTCTTTATATATTTAGGCATATCCCATCTTTATCTATAGACAGATAACCTTTTTGCATAAGGAGGAAAACTTAAAATAATATTTTCAGTAGACTTGTGCAAACTATTAAATTCTTAAATTAGTAACTTAAAGTTCCCACTCTCACTTGAGGGAAGAATGGGAACTTAATTATTAATTTTCCTGTTATTGGTCTGGAAAAGAAAAAACATGCTCTATTTTCAATGTTTTATAGTATAAGCACTACTGAAATACCACTGTCACAGCATATGAACACTCTAAATGTAGACCTTTGGGTAGAGATCGCTAGCTGTTCATCAAAATCTACTTTTTTTTTCTTTTTTATATTTTATTTATTTATTCGAGATAGAGTGAGAGAGAGAGAGAGAGAGAGAGAGAGAGAGAGAGAGAGAGAGAGAGACAAGCAGAGGGAGAAGCAGGCTTCTCACTGAGCAGGGAGCCTGATGCAGGACTTGATTCCAGACTCCAGGATTATGACCTGAGCCGAAGGCAAACACTTAACCAACTGAGCCACCCAGGTGCTCCAAAATCTACTTCTTTATCCTCAAAATCAGAGCTAAACCATTTCCTAGCTAGGAGAAAGTGATCTGAGCTACTTCCAGGCCTAGCACATGTGCTTCTCCATGTTTTGTCCCTTCTAGTTGACTGTGATGGTGAATCCAAGGTAATTATGGATTCTGTGTTTTAAAGACAGCAGGGCCACAGTCAGCCTGGGTCCCCGGTCATTGTTTTATAAGCAAGAAACAGACTGGTATTATGTTTGCACTATTACATGTATTTTCATCTATTTATTACAGTATGTAACATTTAATATAATACAAAATGGCAGTAATTCACCTGCCCACCTAAAACAAGACCTCCATAGTCTTTAAATTTTAAGTATCATGAGATAAAAATAAGTCAACTACAAGCAGCATGAGTCCCACATAAGTTGTTAACTCCTCTAGAAATTAAGGCAAAAACATAATCACACTCCTTTCATAGCTCTGTAAATAAAAGATGGATAGAATCATGTGGAGCCTAATGTTTAAAATTAAAATTAGGTTTTCTGACTACAAAGACCCCCTCACAAATTTCTGGGATCATTTCCTACAGAAGTTGGTAATATGACCTAAAATGTAATCACATTCTCTTACCATCTGTGCCATGAGGACGAGTAATCTGTTGGACTGAAGATGATGAAGCAAATCTGGTAGGAACTTTGCCCAGCTTCTGGGCACTGGGCTCTGGAATTTCAAGTCCATGATCATCCGCATTAATAAAAATCTCAGATGAAAACATAGTTTTTCCTGGACTTTCTGTTGTTATCTGAGTGACTGCATCAGATGACAATTTTCCAGGGAAGGCAGAAAATGGGGTCTTAATCACCTCTGATGGTCTGAACAAAAAAGAAAAAGGACACAGAAGGTAATATCCGTGGCTTATCAAATACTGTAATCTCTTTCCAAAGGTAGATTCAAGGAATATTTTGTGGAGATACATCAACCTCAAATGGTTATTTCAGCAGTACCCTTTGCTATCTTAAATACTTACTATAACGCAATGATGCATGAGTTTATTCATTTAAAAATCTACTTTAAATTTCAACTTAGAATACTATTATATAATTTAGCTGAGGAAATGGTACTTTTCAGTTGAAGTAAAAATATAATCATTTTTAAAAAATTACTTAAAGTCTACTATAAATTAAGGGACTGTGCTAAATGCATAGAGTGTACAAAAATAAATAAGAAATAAAGACTTGCCTCAAGAAGTTTATTGTCAGTGGGGGAACCAGAGGTTTTTAAGATTGTAATTATGTACTAAGATTTTAGAGAATTAATATTAAAACAGAATAGAGCAAATAAATGATTTAAAAAAATGAGAGGAGACAAATCTTGTTTATAGAAGAATTCCAGAAAAATATAGGCAGATACCTCCCCATCCAAAGAGATGAACATTAATCTCTCCCTTCTCCCTTGGGTATAGGCTGGACTTATTAATTGGATTCCAAAGAACAGAGTAATAAAAAGGGATAAATAGTAATCTTACAGTGGAGAAACATAACAAACACCATATTATTCAAGTGATGATGGTTCACATCACCAACACTGTCATGTGGATGTCGCATACTCTCTGCTATGATGTGAAGAGATGGGAACTTCCCTTCTATGGTATTTTTTGCCAAAACCCATAATTCCAGTCTAATCATCCAAAAATATCAGCCAAACACAGATTAACCATTATTCCTCAAAACTGTCAAAATCATGAAAAACAAGGAACAAGGAACTGCCATTGACAAAAGAAGACTAAAGAGATATGACAGCTAACTAAAGGGAATGTGATATACATTGGGTCCTGGAACAAAAAACATTGGGGGGTGGTAAGTCAGAGATCAAGCTGCAGGGAAGTTATCCATGTTGAGGGGTAGTCTAGCATGGAGTGTCAAAGCCCAAGCAGGGTGAGAGGTTCATCCACACAGAAAGGTAGCCTGAGTGGAGAGTCAGAATCCAAGTGGTGAGTCAGAATCCTGGCTGGGGAGAGGATGGCAAGAGAGATGGGACATTAGTTATACAATGAGAGCTTGATCAAATAAATAAATACTTGGGCTTTTAATTTCTAATAGTGGGCCTCTCTGCCTGGGTAGAGAGGAATATATAGAGAAGAAATAAATGTAAAACAAGTGCACGTGTGTGTGTGTGTATGTGTGTGTCTACACAACGCCACCAAGAGGGCTGGGAAAAACCCAATAGAAATGTGTACACCTAGTGCTCAAATCTTGGCTTCTAAATATCTCCTTCCACTAGAAATAACCAGGCTCCTTGGAGAAACAGCCAATTCCAGAGGATGGAAAACTACAAGAGTCTGAAATGTCTTCTTATCCCAGAAAGCAGACACGTTCAAAAGATAACAGAGACATGTAAAATGGATACAGAAGACAGCTTGAAGGGACTGCCACTGGCCACCAAATTTTCAGAATGAAAACAAAGTACAATAGTAACATTGAACATAATAAGAAAATATGATTTTTTAAGATGTAAAATATTTGCAAATCTCACATCCAACAAAACCATGTATCCAGAATAAATAAAAACTTTAAATTCAATAGTTAAAAAAACAGTGCAATTAGAAAATGGCAAAACAACCTGAGGGGCACCTGGGTGGCGCAGTCGGTTAAGCATTTACCTTAGGCTCAGGTCATGATCCCAGAGTCCTGAGATTGAGCCCCACATGAGGCTCCCTGCTCAGTGGAGAGTCTGCTTCTCCCTCTCCCTCAGCCCCTCCCCAGCTCATGCTTTTTCTCTCTCCCTCAAATAAATAAAAATCTTAAAAAAAAATTGGCAAAACAACTTGAACACACACTTCATCAAAGAAAACACACAGATGGCAAATAAGCACATGAAAAAATGTTCATCATCATTAGCTATTTAGGGAAATGCAAATTATAATGGCAATGAATCCCCCTATATACTTGTTAGAACGGCTAAAATAAAAAATGTTTAGAGTACCAAATGTTGAGAAGGATGTAGAGTAACTGGATCCCTCATACTTTGCTAGTAGAAATGTAAAATGATACAACCACTGTGAAAACTAGTTTGGAAGTTTCTTATAAAATATACATATACATACTACATAACACATCAATCACACTCCTGGGCATGTATCCTAGAGCAGAGATTCTCAACCTTGGCATTTCTGACATTTTGAACCAAATTCTTCTTTGTGTGGACTGTCCTCTGTATTCTAGGATATTCATCAGCAGTCCTGATGCCAAGAGAAAATTCTTTCCTAGTTGTGACAATCAAAAGTGTCTTCTAATATTGCCAAATGTCACCTTGGGGCCAAAGTCTCACCTGGTTGAGAATCACTGACTTAGAGAAATAATTATGTTCATGTAAAAATAAGTACATGAATTTCATAGCATAGTACATATTAGTAATAGTAAAAAATTGGTAACAACCAAAATGTTCTTCTACAGGATAAACTGTGATATATTCATACATTAGAATACTACTTAGCAATAAAAAGAAACAACTATTGATACACATAATAACTCAGATGAATCTCCAGGTCATCAGGCTGAGTAAAAAGAGTTAATTCCAAAGGTTACATGCTATATGATTCTATTTATAGAACATTCTCCAAAAGATGAAATCATACAGTAAAGAAACAGATCACTGGTTTCCAGGGCTTAAAGAAGGCAGGGGACAGGGAGAAGGAGTGTGACTATAAACAGACAGGTACAAGGAATTCCTTTGTGATGACAGAACACTTCTATATTTTGATTATGGTAGTAGTTACACCAATCTATATGATTAAATTTCATAGAATTATACACATATACATTTAAAAAAAACCAACTGCATGCAAAAACTGGTGAAATCTGATGAAAGTCTGTAGTCTAGTTATCTGCATTGTATCAGTATCAATTTCCTGGTTTTGATAATGTACTAAAGTTACGTAAGATATTACCAATGGAGAAGCTGAGTGATGGGAACCTGGGACTCTCTAAACTATTTTTTTAATCTCTTGTGAGTCTATATATTTTTAAAGTAAAAAGTGAAGAAAAAAGTAATAGACCCATGAATAAAATAAGAAAGCATGATTCTGTATGAATATAATAAACAAACTAAAAATTTGCAAAGGAATGAGATACTCACATAGTTTCAAAGTACCTCCCACAAAATATGTAATTACAAAGGGAAAAAGAGTAATTTTCAGTGAAGGAACCTAGCAGTCATAACCTTAAGTAATTAATGTCATAATTGTCAGCAGGGGGACAAATGAAAATTGTGCAACATCTGATAACATATGATGAGAATTCAATGTCCCTTCTGTGATATTCCTAACCCAAACCTAATCATGAGAAACATCAGAGAAACCCAAATTGAAAAACATTCTACAAAGTAAATGATCTGTTATCTTCAAAAGGTCAAGAAAGTCAAGGAAAGACTGAAGAAATATTCCAGACCAAAGAAAATTAGAGTCATGACAACTAAATGCAACATGTGATTTTTGAACTGCCTCCTTTTATTATAAAAATCCTTACTGGAACAACCAGAAAGTCTGAATACTGAATACTGTCTGTAATGGAGCACTGATTTTCCTGATTTTCATGACTTTACTGGGGTTATGTAGGATTATGTTCTTTTTATAGGAAATGATACAGTGATGTATCAGCATGCCATGGGGCAGCATGTCAACAACTTACTCCCAAATGGTTAAGGAAAATAAAGGAGATATTAACATAATATTCTCAAATGTTGATTAAACAGACAAAAATTCAGTAAAAATGAAGATTTCAACGTAACAGTTGATCAAGTGGACCAAACTGACATATACAGATATTACATTAAGGAAGTGCAGAATGCATACTCCCTCAACTGCACATTGATCAAAATAAAAATATACTGTAATGTGAAGCAATTCTAAGAAATTTAAATATGTTGAAATCATTTAGAATATAATCTCAATAACCACAATAGAATTAACTAAAAATGAATAATAATTAGAAAGTTCTCATACAATTGGAAATTAAGAAACACATCTCTACATAGCCCATGGAACAACAACAAATTATAACAGAAATGAGAAAATATTTAGAGCAAAGATGGTGATGAGAAAGTACATAAAAATCTGTGTATATCAGAAAAGGCTAAATATTAATGAAAATTAATGAATATGAAAAAAATTAAGTATTTATTCTCAGAAATGTAGGAAAAGACCATCAAGTTAAAACCCAAAACAGAAGGGAAAAAATAAAACATATAAGCAGAAACCTTAAAAACAGAGAGCGTGGGGCACCTGGGTGGCTCAGTCATTAAGTGTCTGCCTTCGGTTCATGTCATGATCCTAGTGTCCTGGGATCGAGCCCCGCGTTGGGCTCCCTGCTCCGCGGGAAGCCTGCTTTTCCCTCTCCCACTCCCCCTGCTTGTGTTCCCTCTCTCGTTATGTCTCTGTGAAATAAATAAAATCCTTACAAATAAACAGAAAACACATACTAGAGGATCAACAAAACCCAAACTGCTTAACACCTAGAAAAAGCAATCAAGTAAAAAAAGAGAAAACAAAAATTACCAATATCAGACATAAAAAAGTTAATATCACTAGAGATTCAGAAATTGAAAGGATAAGAAGATATTATGAAAATAACTCATATCAATAAGTTCTGACAAGTTAGAATAGAAAAAAATTCATTGAAAAACACTTTCAAAGCTGACATGAGAAAAAAAAAAGAAAATCTGCATAGTCATATCCATTAAAGATTGAATCGTACTAAAAACTCCAGGCCACAATGGCTTCACTGGTAAATTCTGCCAAATATCCAAGAAAGAAAGAATACCAATCTTAAACAAACTCTTTCAGAGCATCCTAATATATTTCTGAGGTCAGCCTAAT